CAAGCATGAATTAGATCCACAGGATTAAACGCATATGCGCAAGGTTGAAAAAAATCAAATTAATGCTCCACAAACAACAGGTGCAAGTTATGGAGATGAACATCTGTTAGGCCATAAGTAAAATTCGGCAAACAGAAAATTCCAAAGTGACTCGTATGCATTATATTTAAGTGTCACCATGTGCACAGTATACACAAGATTAGCAAACTTCTATGAAAAATATCTAATAATAATTTTATATGCCTCGAGTTTCCTGGCTGCCTACTGGCTGGGCTCCTGTCTACTCCGACAATAACTCACCTTCCCTCCACAAACCATGACGTCTTCTCGGTTGATGCACCAGTGTGTGTGGGTATGGGAAACGAAATCATTAACAAAACACACATTCGCCTGCGTTCATGGACCAAATAATGTAATGGTCATTTAGTGAAAAAAACAAAAGATGATCACGGTTGTTTGCTTCCGATGGCTTTATTATTTCATGTCGGTGGCGGCAGTGTAGACCCACGTCTACAGCCAGTTTTCCTGATTTGAGTTACACGGGATTTCAGTGGCCTGCTCGGTCGACTGCAGTCTCCTGCCTCCCCATCTGTCTCTGTGCGTGGGTAACTCTGCACGAGGGCTATGGCCGCAAGACCAGAGCAATGCATCCCACACACTATCCGACCAGAACATGAACATATGTAAAATAGCCGCGTACAGGTAAACCTTGCCCAACGCAGCTTTACCTAACGCGTGTTTCGGCTCTTCGCGGTTGAGCTAACGAGGTCTGTTTTCCGAAACACGGGGGTGACGTTTCGGCTCTACGCGGTGAAGATTTTTTTAAAATCTCTGAATCGACAAGTGGTGCCGTGAGAGTGCTGCTGCACCCGTTGGAAGGAGTGAATGAATCGACTGTGAGAGCGACTGATTTACCACGAATGTTTTTTTGTGTGTGTACGTTTCTAGCGCGCTTTTGTGTTATTATGTACCACACACTCAGCGCACACAACGGCACATCGCCAATGTTCACATTGCCGCATGCATCTTGCCGTCAAGTTAAGGACGCCCAGATGGCGAACCATTAACGTTCAAGCGACAATGTCAGGGGCGAGCGTCGGGCGTCAGGGCGGGAAGAGGAAAGGCGACGTGGGGTTTGTGTTGAGGTGACATTAACAACTCAAGTGAGTTTACTTGCACGAGCAATAGAGTGCGACTCAGCATCCCTTAGTGCACTCACAAGGGTGGACATCTTGTCGAGTCAGTTCTACAAAGCGGGAGGGGGTGATCATTTTGGACCTATTATTTGTCGACCGCGGTTTTGCTCAAAACGGCATTTTCCAGGAACGTAACTCCCGCGTTCAGCGAGGTATGTCTGTATTTCGTGTGTTGTCGAATTAGCAAGGACGAGCAGTGGACAATCCGCAGTATATTTAAACGAAGCATATTTATATAATTTTGATCATTGAACATGTTTAATGGCTCTTCATTTGATGTGTCCGGGATTGTTAAACATTAATTATTTTGATTTAAAGTTTTCGTGACTGCAGTAATTCATATTCTTAGCTCTTTCGGTGACGACCGTTTGTGTTATGGTCGAAACGTCGCGATAATTTTAATTGTTTCATATATATTTTATTATTTTATTGTTTCCCTTCAACGTGACTTTACCGAAAGAGCTAAGAATATATTAATTATTGTACATTGCCATTAATCAAACATATGATTAATTTTATATTGTTAACAATCAAACAGAAATTACTTTATATTATAAAAAAAATCTAACATAGGAATTCTAAGTTACATTATTATTTGCAACAATATTTTTCTTTATTCTACAATTATTTGGAATATTTTGTCGATAATTGAGGATACATGAAAAAAGTAATGCAATATATCGTCGGTAATTGAGGATATATTAAATAAGTTAAACTAGTCCTGAATACCTCCAAAACCAAGGTGCTATGCTTCTCACCAGGACTAAAGCAGGAAGTTATTTTTTCCCCAATTACATTCCATAAATAATTATCAAATAGAGCAACTCAAGATCTATAAGTATCTTGGGGTCATCCGTGATTCAAAACTGAATTTTTAAGATCACATTGATTATATTGGTAAAAAGACAAAAAGTAAAATTGGTTTTATGTAACGACACAAGTACTGCTTCCCCGCTATGTTCCGTTTGGAATTGATAAAAGCTACCATACTGCCTCTACTTGATTACTATGACATCGTATATAAATCAGCCCCCAGTACTGTACTGAAGAAGCTTGACTCAATTTATCACTCGGCCTTAAGATTTGCATTGAACTGCCCATATAGAACCCACCACTGTGATCTCTACATTGGGTCAAACTTAACATCTCTCACTGTTCAAATAAACCTACCATTAAAATTATAGACTGATCATTTCTTTGTCAGTGGGCAAACGTACAAAATCAGCAGGGGATCAAATACTTTTTTTCCCTCACTGTATAGCTACAGGGTTTGGTGGTACATGTTGTTTATGTCGTTTATTGTGAAATTTCGGTCACAGTTTCTATGATCACTGTTACATTGCTTTTATGGATTTATTTTGGTGATTTCGAAAACGTTTTTTGGTTTGGCCATGTTTGTTTGTTGTAGTACGGAGTTAAACTGATGGCTTTAATCTAAGTTGTCTTGTGGTTGTTGTTGTTGTTTGACTTGCATCCCACTGGGATTTTTGCACACAGTGTTGGTGTACGGTGCTTTTTCAGGAATATTTTGCTGTTTTTTTCCTGGATTTTCTGTTTGCACAAAGTCACACACAGTCACTTTAAGATGTTTTCTTGTTCATGTTTTTGTTTTTTGTTTGTTACGGTTGCACCCGATTCAAGGCTAAACCAAATAAATGAAACTGAAATGAAACTGAAACGCGTGAAGAATCAAATGTAGCAACGAATCTCGTGCCGTAGAAGAGGTGGGAGTAAGGAGTAGAACAGGCGGACACGGTTTATTAAAAAATACTCAAACTTGTCAATTGCCTTCCTGTTCATGCAATTTTTTCACCGGAATGTTCTTTAAATCCTTGAGAATGTAAAAAAAGTACAAAAACACGTTATCTTGGAGTTTTATCACGTTTAAAAGTACAGGTGCATTGTGGGAAGAATGAGAACGCCAGCTGTCTCTCATTCCTCGTTACAGATCAAAGGGTTCTCTCCTGATATTGACATAATTATTGATGATTTCATGATAATTAATTACTTAGTGACGCAAAGGCCATCGTTGTACTGCACTCCTGTGCGCCCACATCTATCCTCTCCGCCTTCACCGACACGCACTGACCAGCATGGTGAAGTATGGTAATAAAAGACAATCCAATTGCTGACGCACATAAACAACGGCTTCCGATCCACAGCAACTCTGGATCAGTGATAATTATCTGAACCGGTGCTGGGCCTCCCTTGGGTCGACTCAGCCTTTAATGAGCACCTCATGCAGTGTTTAAGGGGCCGTCCATAAATGACGTCACGCACCTGGGGGGAGGGGGGGTCAGACATTTGTGACGATGTGTGACGAGGGGGGGGGGGGGTTGAGAAATGTGACGTCACATCAAAATGCGCAACTTTAAATAAATATAGACAACACGTTCTGTTTAATGAAATAGACTTTTTAATAAATGTTTTCTCCTACAACATCAGAGTGCAGCGCCACATTAAATACGCGCTACAATGACAATATATGAAAGCGATTTGATGCATGTTTTATATTTGAGGGGGGGAGGCAGAGCTTTGTGACGTCATATTTTAGGGGGGGGGGTCTGACTTTTTGTGACGCCGTGTGACGAGGGTGGGGGGTCAAAAATCGTCCAAAATCGCGTGACGTCATTTATGGACGGCCCCTAACCACCATCAGCACCGAGAAGACAAAGGCGGTCGGGCGTGGTGCTAGTCCCGGCCACACCACCGCATCTCGCGCACAATGCCAGCCTCAAGAGATGCTCGCTAACGTCACTTGCCCCAACAGTCCGTGCAGGCTACACGGGTGATCTTTGTCTTTGGTGTAATGGGGCGATGGGAGTCTGGGAGTCCGATGAGAGGACCCGTGAAGTGCGAGTCGAGTGCGAGGAGGAGGGGGGAGGAGGAGGGAGGGGGAGGAGGGGGAGGAGGGGGAGGATTGTCCGGATGGGGCTGTTGTGTTTGGATTCGTATGAAGGGGAGATGGGAGAGTTTTTTTTTAATGTCGGGGGTTATTGAGCTTGGGGTTAGAAGGAGAGGTCTGTCGGTGGAGTGGTGGGGGGAGTGGTGGGGGGGTGGTGGGGGAGTGGGGGGGGAGTGGGGGGGGAATGGTGGGGGAGTGGTGAGGGGTGGTGGGGGGGGGGGTGGGGGGGAGTTGTGGGGGGATTGTTGAGGATGGGCGGGTCGCGATGCTGGGGGGGAGGGGGGGGCGGTGGTGGTAGTGGTGGGGGGTGGTGGTAGTGGTGGGGGGTGGTGGTAGTGGTGAGGTGTGGTGGTAGTGGTGGGGGGTGGTGGTAGTGGTGGGGGGTGGTGGTAGTGGTGGGGGTTGTGGTAGTGGTGGGTGGTGGGGGGTGGTGGTAGTGGTGGGGGTGGGGGGTGGTGGTAGTGGTGGGGGGTTGTGGTAGTGGTGGGGGGTTGTGGTAGTGGTGGGGGGTGGTGGTAGTGGTGGGGGTGGGGGGTGGTGGTAGTGGTGGGGGGTTGTGGTAGTGGTGGGGGTGGGGGGTGGTGGTAGTGGTGGGGGGTGGTGGTAGTGGTGGGGGGTGGTGGTAGTGGTGTGGTCTGCTGGGGGTGGGGGTGGGTTGGTAGTCGCGGCTGTTCAGAATTCTGGGTGGTTGTGGTGGTGGGGGTAGTTGGGGCTGAGTGGTGGGGTGCTGGGTGGTTACTTGTGGATGTGGTGGTGGTGGGAGGGATGCTGGGTGGTGGTTGTTGTGGGTGGTGGTGGGAGGGATGCTGGGTGGTGGTTGTGGGTGGTGGTGGGAGGGATGCTGGGTGGTGGTTGTTGTGGGTGGTGGTGGTGGTGGTGGGAGGGATGCTGGGTGGTGGTTGTGGGTGGTGTTGGGAGGGATGGAGTTGTGAGGGAGTTTGAGACAGGAAACCGCGAAACGCCCTCGCCACACATTCGGAGTGAGCGGCTGCGTGGGATCGAGGAGGCTCCGCGCTCGCTCGCCCTCACCACGACCAGCAGTGAGTTCACTCCCTCACCACGGGCTCCCTCCCTCACCACGACCAGCAGTGAGTTCACTCCCTCACCACGGGCTCCCTTCCTCACCACGAGCAGCAGTGAGCTCCCTCCCTCACCACGACCAGCAGCAGCAGCAGGAGCGAGCTCCACGCATTCCCCCCAGGCTGGTAAGCAGCACGTGGTGGCGCGGATGGAGTTTTCGATTTGTGGCAACCCCAGTAGGCACTATGCTTGCAGCCCCGTGCTGTGCACATGATGATGATTATTATTATTATTGGCGCACCGAACCGGTTGTTGGCAATCCACGAGTGCGCCGGTTCGATTCGATCTCCAGGGGCGGCGGTTGAAACAATGGTCAAGTTAAATTTCGATTTAAAGCTTTCGTGACTGCAGGGATTCATCTTCTGGGTTCTTTCGGTAAAGTCACCTGAGGAAGGCTACTTGTGTCGTGGCCGAAACGTCGTGAGAATTGTATCATTATGTTATTAGTATTTGTATTATGTTATCTAAATTCTACGTGATTTTACCGAAAGAACCCAGAAAATGGTCAAGTTTTATTTTATTTTGTTAACTTCCAAACCTCGAAACTCCGTCCAGCCAGGGACCAGCGCCCATGTCCAGGGCAGGGTCAGTATCCAGGTGGGTACGTTGTGGTGTGGCGGGGTAGAAGTGTGTGGTGCTCCCATCTCTATCCGCTGTGGTGAGCGTGTAAAGAGTCGGCCGAGGTAACGCTCTGATTTAGTGTGCAGATCTGTAAAGGTGCATTGAAAAATGTTGATACTCCAACTGATGCTCCTGCTGTTGTGGAGTGAATCATGCAGCCAGCTATGGCTGCAGGGTTTTTTTGGTGGTACATGTTGTTTATGTCGTTTATTGTGAAATTTCGGTCACAGTTTTTATGATCACTGTTACATTGCTTTTATGGATTTATGTTGGTGATTTCGAAAACGTTTTTTTGGTTTGGCCATGTTTGTTTGTTGTCGTACGGAGTTAGACTGATGGCCTTAATCTAAGTTGTCTTGTGGTTGTTGTTGTTGTTGTTGTTTGACTTGCATCCCACTGGGATTTTTGCACACAGTGTTGGTGTACACGGTGCCTTTTCTGGAAGATTTTGCTGTTTTTGTTTCCTGGATTTTTCTGTTTGCGCATCAGTCACATAGTCACTTTAAGATGTTCTCTTGTTCATGTTTTTTGTTTGTTGCGGTTGCACCCGAGTCGAGAGCCGAATGGCTCACAGGGCTACACCAAATAAATGAAACCGAAAACAAAACTGAGATGGACGAAGTCTCCTGTGCAGTCCGTTACGCCGGCAGCGGTGCGAGTGGGCAATTGCAGGGCTGCGCCTGGCACGCTCCTGGGTGCCAATGTCACGACTGGGGCATTCGTGCGTGGCTCGTGTGGATTCTTATAACATGAACCTCTGGCCTGTCTTGTGTGTTCTGAAGAAGGGCCGTTGTCCGAAACGTCGCCTCGGTTAGTGTTACTGACGAATGTGAGCGTTGTTGCAATGTTGTGATGCGCAGTGATTGTCCCATACAAGTTGAAGCATCACGTTTGTGCACATGGCTCTTAAATCAGCACTAACATAGTATATACATTTTTAAGTGTATTTTTGCTTAACCAGGTGAGATCTTTCCATTCTAAAATAATCGTTGAGAGTGTAGAACACGTGGACTAACTCATGTATGCACACGACGTTTTGAGAAGGCATTGTAATATGTTGATTTCAGTAAGATGAGTATGTGGAGATGATTAGTAGTATGTGGAGATGATTAGTAGTATGTGAAGATGATTAGTAGTATGTGAAGATGATTAGTAGTATGTGGAGATGATTAGTAGTATGTGGAGATGATTAGTAGTGTGTGGAGATGATTAGTATGTGGAGATGATTAGTAGTATGTGGAGATGATTGGTAGTATGTGGAGATGATTGGTAGTGTGTGGAGATGATTAGTATATGGAGATGATTAGTAGTATGTGGAGATGATTAGTAGTATGTGGAGATGATTAGTAGTATGTGGAGATGATTAGTAGTATGTGGAGATGATTAGTAGTATGTGGAGATGATTAGTAGTATGTGGAGATGCTTAGTAGTGTGTGAAGATGATTAGTAGTGTGTGGAGATGATTAGTAGTGTGTGGAGATGATGAGTAGTGTGTGGAGATGATTAGTAGTATGTGAAGATGATGAGTAGTATGTGGAGATGATTAATAGTGTGTGGAGATGATTAGTAGTGTGTGGAGATGATTAGTAGTGTGTGGAGATGATTAGTAGTGTGTGGAGATGATTAGTAGTATGCGGAGATGATTAGTAGTATGCGGAGATGATTAGTAGTATGCGGAGATGATTAGTAGTATGCGGAGATGATTAGTAGTATGCGGAGATGATTAGTAGTATGCGGAGATGATTAGTAGTATGCGGAGATGATTAGTAGTATGCGGAGATGATTAGTAGTATGCGGAGATGATTAGTAGTATGTGGAGATGATTAGTAGTATGTGGAGATGATTAGTAGTATGCGGAGATGATTAGTAGTATGTGGAGATGATTAGTAGTGTGTGGAGATGATTAGCAGTACGTGGAGATGATTAGTAGTGTGGAGATGATTAGTAGTGTGTGGAGATGATTAGTAGTGTGTGGAGATGATTAGTAGTGTGTGGAGATGATTAGTAGTGTGTGGGGATGATTAGTAGTGTGTGGGGATGATTCGTATGTGGAGATGATTAGTAGTATGCGGAGATGATTAGTAGTATGTGGAGATGATTAGTAGTATGTGGAGATGATTAGTAGTATGCGGAGATGATTAGTAGTATGTGGAGATGATTAGTAGTATGTGGAGATGATTAGTAGTATGTGGAGATGATTAGCAGTACGTGGAGATGATTAGCAGTACGTGGAGATGATTAGTAGTGTGGAGATGATTAGTAGTGTGGAGATGACTAGTAGTGTGTGGAGATGATTAGTAGTGTGTGGAGATGATTAGTAGTGTGTGGAGATGATTAGTAGTGTGTGGAGATGATTAGTAGTGTGTGGGGATGATTCGTATGTGGAGATGATTAGTAGTATGCGGAGATGATTAGTAGTATGTGGAGATGATTAGTAGTATGTGGAGATGATTAGTAGTATGTGGAGATGATTAGCAGTACGTGGAGATGATTAGTAGTATGTGGAGATGATTAGTAGTATGTGGAGATGATTGGTAGTGTGTGGGGATGATTCGTATTTGGAGATGATTAGTAGTGTGTGGAGATGATTAGTAGTGTGTGGAGATGATTAGTAGTATGTGGAGATGATTGGTAGTGTGTGGGGATGATTCGTATTTGGAGATGAGGCTTCGATGTCAGCCCATCATTGAGTTGGTGAAAAATATAGTGCTCCATTAAAGAGAGCGCGTGTGATAAGGGTGCCGATATATATTTAGTGTCCAATTACAAAGAAAAGTGGACAGTCTGTTTTTCTCGTGTGTCCCACTTCATAGTGGGCATTGCATTGCTCCATTAGACCAGAGGGCACGAGACACAAACAAAGTTTGTGTATTACATTCATATAGCCCTATTGTCGATTCACTGCTGAATGAAGGCCTCCCCCACGCCTGGGTTGTTTGGCCATACTTCACCACGCTGGTCAGTGCGGGTTGGTGAATGGGGGCACCCAGGACTGACTGAGCTCAATAATTCGCCAATGATCTTAGCCGTGGCTTGGAATGGAACTCGGGTTTATAACTTGGTGTGTCCAACCACTGCATCACTGATCCCTACAAAACTATCGTGTTTAGTAGGGCCCTATAATCAGGCACTCGAGGCAGACCCAATGCTTATCATATAATGTCCCTTTAGATCGAGGCAGTCACATTATATTGCTCCATTAAACAAGAGAGTGGTGAACACTACATATAGGGGAACCAGCGTGCACAGTGCCCTATAATTTGTCAATCGAGGTGGACACTACGTATGCAGTATACGGTTCCCCATTCAATGGAGGTGAACGCGTCCAGGATACCTGTTGCGTGAACCTCGCACGGCGTCTGTTGATGAATCCCTCCCGTTGACTTTGCTGCTTGGCTTGCGCTTTATTATCGTTTACGTTGTTCGCTTTCAAGAGCTGCGTCCGTGCACGGAGGAGAGACGACGCGCTCTGAGATGGAGGCAGTGGAGGCACCGGGATCCACAGCTGTAGCAGCAGCAGCAGCTGTGGCTGTGGCTGTCCTCCCACCACCCGTGGAGCAGGACAGCAAGGAGGAAGAGGTGAGCTTCCTCTGCGCACCCCCAGCCTATTGTGTGCTGCGCTTCGAGCGGGTTCCGCTCCGTGCGCGCTCTTGGCTCGGTATTCCCAGGTCATTTGGTGAGGTTTTTTTTTGTTGTATAAGCAAAGGGCTGCATTTTTTTTTTTTGGGGGGGGGGGGGTGGTCAGTGGACTGATAGACAAGTTCAACTTAGTGGCACGGCAAACTACATAATTTAACACGTGTATGCTTTTGGGTCTGATCGTTTAGTATGAAAGCTACATCATGGGTGGCATAATAGACGTCGCTGCTCAGCTAAGCGAGTGGTGAGTACGCAGGCATAGTATCGGTCAGAATGATAATTATACCATAACAGTACTAATACATTTTATAGCTCTTTGTCAATCTACTGTTGGACGAAGGCCCTCTCCCACGCCATGTCGTGGTTGATAATACTTCACCACGTTGGTCTGTGCAGGTTGGTAAAGGGATGGAGGCCACCCAGAACTGGTTAAGATATCACCCGTCACTGGCGTTGGCCATGGCTGGGAATTGAACCCACGTGACATGGGTTCATAGTGCAGCGCACTAACCACTGTGCCACTGCTCCACCGAGTACGAATGTACTGCTGTCCTTCATAGCAAACAATGATTGCCAATTCAGTTTAATCTCCATTGACTCTAACAGTCCCATTATTATTTCAACTGCGATTTATTTCATGAGGCTTACCGAAGCACCAACAATTAAAATGCTGTCCGTCATTCACCCGAAGCCTGGCAATTTTCACAGTCTCACAGCGACATAAATATAGACATTGCTTAAAATATTCTAAATTGCTCATTCACTGCAGTTGGTAATCAGTGGAATCAAGAAGGAGGTTGTGCCTCTACGGTGTAATTAACTAGGCCTTGATTTATATTGTGCCTAAAAATAATCCTCAAGGCAGTGTTGACTGTCAGATTGCTTTCCAATAACAAAGAAATAATCATCGGCCAGCTCAATGAAGGCCTTTCCAAACCACTTCCATTTCTCGCAATCCTGCGATGCAACAATCAACCCCCCAGCACCTACACACGAACTTATTTTATCGCTCCATCGCCTTCGTGAACATCATCAGACGCGTCCCATTCCTTGGCAGCCACTTCACAGCAATAGACAACTACGCTGCTGCTCCTGACTCCGTTATCTGGGCTCGAGCACCTGAATGTGACATTTCAGTTGTTGCTCTGCATCTGCATCAGCAGCCACACGAGAGAAGAAGAAAATTGCATTATAATTCTTGACCATCGTCCATTGTTCCTTCTTGCATTGCGTCCTGCCTAAGCCCACTTAATTTTTTATCACACTTTTAATGTCATTAATCCGCGTGCAATTCTTAATCCGCGTATTCATTCCTCCTCCTCCTCCTCCTCGCGATGTCATTCCAAGCGAGCATCTCTTCGTGCCACTTTTTTGTGCACTCTCTTTCAGTTTTTAGTAAAAAAAAAAATTGTGAAACGAATGACCATGTTTCTGAACCATGTCATGACAGCAATATATATATTTTCTTAATAATGCAAGCGAAAGAATGCACGTGAATATAAATCATCCATAGGCATGTTTTGTTCAACAGCCGCACACATGTTGTGCCTGAGTTCCCACTGCATCAGGAAGCTTTCAGAGAGACCAAAAAAAACCCAAATGATTTTTCCCCCCCCCCCCCCCTCCTCTCTCTGCACTTCATTGTGAGCTTCTGGTGACGCCACGAGGCACGCATGGATAAATGCGTGACTCATGGTAATTATGGCGTGGGCCCGTACAGTGCGTGCACGCAGTCATTGGCAGCGATGTGGATAAGCACCCAACTCTACGGATTTGGAGCCGTGTCTCCCGTGTCTCGACATGGTGGATGGTGACTGATGTGAGGCAATCCAGAGATAATGGCGAATGTCTGGCCCATCAACAACGCCTGTGCAACATAGCTTAGAGATTGTATGCCCATCAAAGCGGTGCTGGGTTTTTTTTTAACTTATAAATGAAAATGAGGTGTATAAACATGAAGGATGTTCTCTGGATATCTCATAATGTATACCAGATCCCCTCAATCCAACAGAGTAAAACTTGTGTTGCTGTTACTACATCTATAGACTCAGATGTGTTTTCGTTTGTAGACGTATTGATCGGTCGTGATGTCGAACGTTTCGCTCTACGTGATGGGAGCTTCTTCGGGAACTTCTTTAGCACGATGTCTGATGTTTTGCTCGTTGGACAATTGGGGAGCGTTTGGGAAAATAGGTTCGTGGAGAAGCTCCCAGAGCGAAACGTCGGGCGTCATGCCGAACATCACGTGATACTACAACTCTGAAAACACCTCGGAGAGCAAAGCAACGCAGTTGTAATTCAGACGGATTATAACGGATTAGTCTCATCCACAATGTCGTCTTAAGTTTCTCTGTTTATTTATATGAGCAACATTGTTCGTGTCTATTAACATTGCAGACAGCTGTTTGCAGACGGCTGTTTGTGTGTTGTCTGTTATTGTAAATATTACCCTGAGCGTCGTGATGGGTATTTTAATGCAATCAAGACCACTGCATCCTCTACAGCAGAAAGACAGTGCCTCACCAGTGTGTTGTGAATGTGGTTTTGATTTAGAATTACAATACAACATAGCATTTTCTATGGAATATTCATTTTAGTGTTCACAAACAGCACAGAGATGTGTGCAGCAGCCGGACTGCTGTACTACGTTGGGAGTTGTTTGACCATACTTCACCATCCTGGTCAGTGAGAGTTGTTTGACCATACTTCACCATGCGGGTCAGTGGGAGTTGTTTGACCATACTTCACCATGCCGGTCTTAGGGGTTGTTTGACCATACTTCACCATGCCGGTCTTAGGGGTTGTTTGACCATACTTCACCATGCCGGTCTTAGGGGTTGTTTGACCATACTTCACCATGCCGGTCTTAGGGGTTGTTTGACCATACTTCACCATGCTGGTCAGTGGGGGTTGTTTGACCATACTTCACCATGCCGGTCTTAGGGGTTGTTTGACCATACTTCACCATGCCGGTCTTAGGGGTTGTTTGACCATACTTCACCATCCTGGTCAGTGGGAGTTGTTTGACCATACTTCACCATGCCGGTCAGTGGGGGTTGTTTGACCATACTTCACCACGCTGGTCAGTGGGGTTTGTTTGACCATACTTCACCATGCCGGTCAGTTGGAGTTGTTTGACCATACTTCACCATCCTGGTCAGTGGGAGTTGTTTGACCATACTTCACCATGCCGGTCAGTGGGAGTTGTTTGACCATGCTGGTCAGTGGGTGCTGTTTGACCATACTTCACCATCCTGGTCAGTGGGGGTTGTTTGACCATGCTGGTCAGTGGGGGTTGTTTGACCATACTTCCCCATCCTGGTCAGTGCTACGTATACGGCAAGGTACTTCCTAGATCATCATCGGCAGTTATGGTGAGTCCACTGCTGGATGAAGGCCTAGCCAAGCCATCTCTCATGGTCCTGCAATGTAAACATCCACCTACCAGCACCTGCAGGCCACGAGCTGACTACATCGCTCCACTTCACAAATGACAATCTAAATCTGTGGTAGTTGCATGAGCTACCTTAAACAGTACATAAACTAACGTAAATGTGTGAATACATATGAGGCAAACGTGTCTGCTGTGGAATGCCTTGTTCACACCACTGCTGGTGGTTGCTCCTCCATAGGAGGGGGCTCTGGAGCAGAGGTCCCTAACCTGTGGGTCGCGGATGCCCGGTGGTCTGCGGGAAAGGAATACAAAAATAACAAATCGCAAATAACGTCACCCTCACCATGGAAATGTAACGATTTCAAACAGCGTGTGGTGGTTTGCAAAATGTTTGGAGGTTGAAAAGGGGTCCGCGCTACCGAGAAGGCTGGGAACCGCTGCTCTCGAGGATACGTTGTCCTGCTGCCCCATGCTGGACACACATCTTGGAAGAGGTGGCAGCGACCCGCAAGTTTTATATATATTAAATTAAATGCATTGTTTCTAGGCAGCTGATGTTTGTGACGGCATATTAACTCATTGCTATCACACACACACACACCTGTGAGGTCCGCTCCAAATCTTGCATACAAATCCATCTCATGAATATGGAATTAAGCGAATGCAGAGGTGGCTTGTAGGCCTCGGGTTACGTGTCAGGGAAGTGAGCCAGCACCCTCAATCGTCCGAGTTCGCACTGGGGACAAAGCAATAGCCGTACATCGCTTTCCCTGCCGTGGAAGGGTTCTCGTAAGTCGGTCAGCCCGGTTGCCATTTGATGCACAATTTCCCAAGGGATGTTAATTCGTGCTTGATTTAGCCAAAAGATTCAGCACACAACGTGGTGCACAAGTTTGTTGGAATTATGGGAAAATTGTTGCGATTAGATAGTGGGAAAAGCTGTTTAGTTTTAAGTCCCAGAATGTTTTAGTTGTGTAAAGTGGTTGCATACTGCAGCCGGCAAACATAACTGTTGGCAAAACTTTAAATAAACTTAATATATACTTAAGAATATAATAACAAACTCACGGTGGATGTGTGTTGGAGTGCAAATAGCTGTAATGTAATTTTACCCAGCCAAGCGAAATGAACATTTGCTCAGAGTTCAATATTTTCTTACGTTAATAAATAAATAGCACTTAAATGAACACGAAAAAAAATTAAGTAAGTTCCATACATTTTCTCTCATTCAAAAAAGGGAGAGATATCTTAATCTCAGTGTGCATACATCAGCACATGTCTGGGAAAAAATACTCGCGTACAACAGGAGGTGCATGATTAATAGGCGTTCTTGTTCATGTTGACATGGTCAAATAGTCCTGGTCCATTCCTGTGCCATTTATACAACTCTAAAATGTTGCCTCTTTGTGGGAGGAACTGATGTTGTCTATTAATACAAATTAACTTGTCCAATGCCTCATATTTCACATTTAAAGTGTTACTTTTCTGCGACAGTTTACATGTCATTACGTCAAAGAAGAACGTGGATTTCATGTCCAACATAAAC